CCCCCCCCCGCCCGGAGCCTGGGGGCCGCCCCCGCCGCCCCGCTTCCTCCTCGCGGACCTCGTCCAGGGTCGGTTCCGCAGCCGGGCGCCCCCTTCCTACCTCTGGGAAGGTCGGACTCCGGGAGGACCTGAGCACCGCGGGCAGTGCCCGGGGCTCATGACTGGGTTCCGGCTGCAGAGCCGATTTGGTTCAGGGGTCGAGAGCCGGGCGCGGGCCCGCGCGTGTCCGGCCGCCCTTTGTCTGGAGCTGTGGGCCGGGGCGCGAGTCCCGCGCGGACCCAGGTCCCCGCCGCCGCCGCAGCGAGCGGGGCTCCTCCCCGGCGAGGCTTGGTCGCGCGGACTGCCGGCGCACTGGCAGCTGTCGGGGTGCAGGTGGTTTTGTTTGAAGGGGTCAGATTTGCAATTCTTGCCGACTTTTTCGACTAACTCCTTAGAACCCGCTCTTAATCAGATCTTCCCTCTCTCAATGAATGTGAAAGGAACACCAGTTTTTCTTTTGTGTATGGATTATTTGTATTCCTTGTGATTAGAAAGACAAATGTGAGGCTTCATGTGCAAAAAAAAAAAAAAAAAAAAAAAAAGTGGAAATGATTTTAAATATTTTCCAGAGGAAGGTAAACCTTAGCTGAGCCTCTAATTTTATATGTAGGGTGGACATGTGAGATTCTGTTTTGGACGTTCAGGACAGTCTTTTCCTTTGAGTTGGGTGAATTAAACCCTTTGTGAAATGAGAGAGGAATGTGAATATTCTGTATTCTTTGATGTGAATTGTGAGGTGCGATTATCTTATTTCCAAATCTTTTAAGATTGTGGCATGATGTGGGTCAGTATGAAATATTTAAGTGATGCAGCAAGGCACTGCGACGGGAGACGCCCTGACGTGGGAGCCAGTGACTGTAGTGCCACTACATTGTCAAGAATTATGGATACAGTTTGTGTCACCCCAGAGGGAATAGGTTAGCACACGTTTTTATTTCTTTGAAATGAGTAAGTTAATTTTATGGATATTTCCAGCGGTTGAAATTACTACAAAAGGTTATGAATGCTCTAAAGCCGGACTGTGGTTAAGCTTCAGGGATGCTGATGGTAGGTTCCTCGCACCTGAAGTGTGGGTTACGTGGGAAAAGGCCCACACAGGGAAAGGGTGGAAGGACTGGCAGTTATAATAGTAGTAAAATGTTTCTCATTTAAAGTCATGAAAGCCGGTGGGTTCAGGACCACTTATAGTGGTGCGTTTAAGTTCTCTACTTCCTTTTAGTATCCATAAAGTGCTTTTAAGATCATGGCATTGACGCAGCTTGAGAACTTTGTGTTTTAGCATCCTTAGAATTGCAGTTTCTAAAAAGTGGTCACATTTAATCTAGAAAATTGCTCATAATTTAGCTAGTAATTTGATTTCTCCCAGAGTTCCATTCTAACACAGCTCTTGTTATTTGCTAGTCAGAGAATTTTTGTGCTGGCTAAGAATAGTCTTATTCTTACGCTAAAGTCAAACTATTTTTTAAAGAATTATTTATTTTTATTTATTCATTAGTTTGTTTTCATTTGACCAGAGAAAGACACACAGAGAGAAGGAAAGAGAGAAAGCAAGCCATCAGGTCCTGGACTCAGACTGTGGTTGGCCATGTGGGTGTGTCCAGCACCTTAACCAACACGCCACCTGCTGACCCAGGTATAGTCAAACTTTTTACTGAAGTTAATCTACTTTTAGGATTTCACCAAATTGCTAACTCACTGTATTATTTATGATGATTTGAATGACATTTTAATTTTTGATAGGATATTATGTCCCCTAATGTTTCATGCTAATTTTTCCCTTAAGGTTTCTTTCATTTTACTATTTCATGTCCCTTCAATTCTAGGCTATAAATGTTAGGGGTGGGAATAATGGTATAGAATTTCATGGTTGTAAAGGAAATTCAGATAAAAAAAATGTTTAATTGGGGCCAGCAGGTGGCCTGGTGGTTAAGAGTGTCGGACTCCCACATGGCTGACTACGATCTGTGTCCCTGACGTGATGGCTTGCTTTCTCACTTTCCTTTTCTCTCTCTCACTTTCTCTTTCTTTCTCTCTTTCACTGTCCCTCTTTGGTCAAATTAAAATAAATACATAAATAAAATTAAATAAAATAATTCTTAAAAAGTGTTTAATTCTTGGGACCAGCAGTTAGCGTAATGGCTATGTTGCTGGACTCCCACGTAGTTGACCTTGGGAAGCCTTCGCGTCCCGGACCCGGTGGCTTAAAACTCACGCCGGGCGCGTGTGCGTGCGTGCCCAAGATCCTGAGAGGAGAATGGAGGAGAAGGGATTGCGGCATGACCATCCCCCCTGGGGGGGTGATTTCTCGCTTTCTGTCTCTCTGTCTCTCTCTGTCTGTCTGGCGAGCGCACGTGCCCTATAGCAAAAACCTCTCAAAAAAAAAAAGTGTTTAATTCTTTTTGGAAAGGTAACCATATATATGTACTTAATCAAGAGGTTTAAGCATGTTAATATATATACCCCTGGAGAGCCTTTGACTCTGATTTTTTTTTTTTATCACTTTAAGGTTTCCATTAAGAATATTGAAAGAGAACTCATTTGCCCAGCATGCAAAGAGCTGTTTACCCACCCATTGATTCTCCCTTGTCAACATAGTATCTGTCATAAATGTGTAAAAGAACTCTTACTGACACTTGATGATTCATTCAATGATGTGGGATCAGACAACTCCAACCAGAGCAGCCCTCGGCTCCGGCTCTCATCGCCCAGCATGGATAAAATTGACAGAATTAACAGACCAGGTATGTGCTGGTGCCATGGTGGGTGGGGTGGGAGCTTGTTTTATTTTCAGTGATAATGGTGGAGGGAAAATTATTTTTGTCATCTGGAGGCTTAATTTCTTTCCTGGAAAATAAATGAAAACTGTAAATAAAAGGTCCTCTTACCACTTGCAAATGTCAGAATGAACTTTTATTGTATTTTGATACACACTTGAAGTAGATATTGGATAGTGAACATCAACTTTGTATGAAACCCCTTAGTAACTGTGTCTCTGTTTTAGGGGATATTCTGACCCTGTGATGTCCTTGATATGATAAAATTAGGGGCTACCAAAGTGCTTCTTACTAGGGGAGCATCCCTATGTGGTAATGTGTAAATGAAGATTGCACAATTAGGGTATAAGATTACATAGTGGTGGGGCTGGCAAGTGGCATAATTGTTAAGAGTGCTGGACTCCCACATAGCCTACCACGGCTCGAGTCTTGGACCTGGTGGCTTGCTTTCTCATTTTCTCTCTCACTCTCACTCTCAGTCTCTTACTCTGTACCTCTCTGGTCAAATTAAAAAATAAACAAATAGGGGAACCAGCAGTTAGTGTAATGACTATGTCGTTGGACTCCCACGTAGTCAACCGCGGTTCGCGTCCCGGACCCGGTAGCTTAAAACTCACGCCGGGCGCGTGTGCGTGCGTGCCCAAGATCCTGAGAGGAGAATGGAGGAGAAGGGATTGCGGCGTGACCATCCCCCCTGGGGGGTGATTTCTCGCTTTCTGTCTCTATGTCTCTCTCTGTCTGTCTGGCGAGCGCACGCGCCCTATAGCAAAAACCTCTCCAAAATAAATAAATAAATAAATAAATAATAAATATATAAATAAACAAATAGAGTTAAGTAAAATAATTCTTAAAAAAAAAAAAAAAGGATTACATAGTGGCTAACACTAAAAGTATTTTATTTGTTACCATTTTATTCTACCTGTGGATTTTTTAAAAGTCATTTTTAGTACATTTTTAAAATAAGGATTTAAAATAACTGTTGAAAGGCACATGTGCTTACTAGAGAGAGAGACAGAGAGGGAGAAAGCACCACCGATGGGGTGTAGTATGCCACAATCCTTTTAACTCCATTTCTCCTTCCTGTTGGGATTTGGGGCGCAGGCACTCAAAGGCCGAGAATGTGTTTTAAGTTGTCAGGGCTGGGATTTTCACTGTGCTCAGCCATGTGGGCTCTGGCTCCTTTAACCACTAGGCTAAGGGATCCACTCTGAAATAAGGATTTTGAACACTGTGAAGAGTAGTAGAATGCTGTGATAATGGTAGAAGTAGCTCTAATTGAGGTGTAGCACACTTACCATTCCTTTTTCACATGACCAGTACATAAATGGTTTCCTGATGGAATACTGTTACTCCTTCTTCTGGATAGCCATTACAGGCTTAATATAGATCAAAATTAAGTTGACTCCCTGGGTTGCTAAAATCAGTGTTGAAAGCCAAAGTGGCCGAGATCCGCTGCCTCCGGCTAGGCTGTAGAGGACTGCTACAGAGCTGAGTGTCTAGGTGTCCCAAAGCGCCAGACTTCAGGGCTTCCCCTCTAACCCTTTGGGCTTTGAAGTTTTACGTTTAATCCTTTTGACTGCTCTGTCAGAGAGGATTAACTTTTTAATCTTGTAAGAATATTTCAGAAAAGAATTCAAGTCGCATTTTAGGGATTGTCATCTTTTTTTGGTCACCCTGTGATACGGAGTGTCTATGAAAGTAGATAAGTATAATTTCCTTTCAACGGTCATATTGTTTTTTTTTATTTTTAAAGGATGATTTATTTAATTCAATTTATTATTATTTTTAATTTTTGATTTTTAAACTTTTTATATTACATTTATTCACATATATCTTTACAGTGTATAACGTTTCTTTTTCCAGCATGATTACCATGCGTATCAGTCAAGACAAAGACATTACTGTCCATATCACCATCATCAAATAGCTTTTTCTTTTTTTAAATGATTATTATTTTTATTATTTCTCTTTTTAAATTTATTTTATCTTTTATTATTATTCATACATTGAATCGCTATGCTTATTATTTTTTAATTTGACCAGAGAGAGACAGAAAGAGAGAGGAAAAGTGACAAAGCAAGCCACCAGGTCTGAGACTGGAAACACAGACAACCCTGTGGGAGTCCAGCAGCCCAACCACCATGCCAACAACCATGTGGGAGTCCAGCAGCCCAACCACCATGCCACTGGCTGGCTGCCATACTATAATTTTTAAATGAGTGTTTTCCTTTACATGGCAATTCCTGATTAATTAGAAGATATCTTGTAGGAAAATTACATGCATAAGCCAGCGAGCGTAAGCCAGCTGAGATAGGGCGGGAGCAGGAGGACAGGTAGGACTGTGAACACTGATGTCACCACTGTCACGCTGGCCTCCTTGCTGTGACTCTGGCTTTGAGGAGGAGAAAGACAGCCATCCTGTGAGATGAAACTTGATCTTCTAGTAGTAGAGCTTCCTTGGCTACTGAGACCTCTGATCAAATAAGGAAAATTTAGTTTTGTTTATTAACGTCCATTACAGACAACTAAATGGAATTTCAGTTCAGTACTAGTATTTCTGCTTAATTAGATTGTGCTTACATATGTATTTCATGAAATTCTATATTTTATGTAAACTACAATCTGAAGATTTGGCTAGTTTTTATATGTGATTCGTATGAAATACTAGGTAAAATATGGTTAACTTTTTGTTTTCAAGAATATACTTAGCATGGTAGCGTGGTACTTTGTGGATGCTTAATAACTCCTTGCTGAATGGATGTGGAGTGACAGACCTCTGCCACAGAGCGTCCATGATGGCTTACATTCAATGGTGGTAGCATTTTTTTCTTTTCCAAAACAAGAACTCCACACCTCTCACCATACATTCCATCATCTGGGTCAGAAATAGACTTGTCCAGAATATACCCATCTTTAAGAAGAACCCTATGAAGTTAGATTATGTCCTGAGGGCGACAGTTAGAATGGGGGAGAGTTTGAAACCTTTTCTGTGACGAACAGTTAGAGCAGACTGCAGTGTTCGGCTTGGAGAAGGGATGGTATGGCATATGCTGGCTGTCCTGTGGATGAGGAGGGCACACTGGGCATCTTTAGCATAGGTTCCAAATCAGCGAGTGGATGGAATGGGAAGGCAGATTGAACCTACCAGCAAAGAAGAGATGGGCACATGCTCGCGCGCACATGTGCCCAGGCTGGCCAGACTGAAATAGGCTACCTGCCCCTAGAAGTGCTTAGACGCTAAAGGGCTGAAAAGGTACATTGATGCAGCAGGCCCCAGGCATAATATGTACAGGATGCCCTTTTATTTTACTTCCTTGATGCAGCAAGGGACAGTAAGTACTCTTGTTCTCATAGATCGATTACTGTTTAAAGATACCAATCTATAAGGCAAAATATACATTTCTTAATTGTTACACCAACAATGCTTAATTACTGAATTATAATACAATAGCTTGATGAATGTTTTATATTGCTGGCTTTATAAATACTGTGTATACCAGTAAAAGCAATTTTTTTTTTAACTGTTAATTGAATAATGGTATTGTGTGCAGGACACAGTTAGTGCTTTATCTTTTGTTAACAAGTTGTGAATCTTCTCTTTGGAATTAAATTCTAAATCTAGCTCTCTGTTCATTGTTCACAGCATCGCAACGGAGACCTCTGGGGTGGAGAGGTAGAGATACTTTATTGCTTTTGTGGCCCAGGCAGTCTAGTGTTAGATTTGAATAATCTCAGTGGTCAAGTCTTCCGACTTAGGTACAGAGTGAACGAATTGGGCTGAAATGGCTTTAAGGTCAACAGGACCAAATTTCCAGGCATGTTCTGTTTTTAGGAAGGAAGCACTGATATTAGTACTTGCAGTGTACATGGCAAGGTATTTTTAAGAAAATAACATATATCCCTGTTGTTTTCTAAATACAATTGTCACAATGTGATTTTCATACATGAGTAGTGGAACAAAGCTATTTCAATATTGCTATACTCGGGAGATTAAAAAAGCCAAAACTTTCTGTGGCTTGTGAAATTCAATTAAAGTATTGGTAAAATTTGTAGGTAATAATATTTATTTTGTGCCTATGGCATATTTTCATTAATATTTAATATTTTGAAATATTTGGCGTAGAGTTTTGATAATCCCTTTTTAGACTTTTTAAAGTATTTGACTCTGCGTGAAGATGGGCTACCCTATCTTACTACATTTTTAAAAATTCCAATTGACTTTTAAAGTAGAATTGGCTACTTTGGGACGCTGGTGATACCCTCTATGTCACTGGAGAGTAATAAACCCCTGAAGCTTTTGCCCTTTTCTGTCTTCCTCCCCTTCTCCTTCTCTTCGTATAGAGCTTACAGCCACTTCTAGAAGCCACTTACAGTCCTTTATCTTAGACTTCAGTGAGTCTCTGAGAATTTTAACTTGTGAAATTTAGTAATTAAGAGGAGAGATAGGTGCAGTTTGCTTAAATTAATCACGTATTATCCATTGATTCAGAGTAGCTGAGAGAAGTAGTTTTCACAGGTTTAAGGGTGCTAATGTACTACTCACAGGGTAAACTGTTAGTAATTCACAGGCATCAGGTGGTCAGCATGTGTAAACAGAAACATTAAGGTGACCAATTAGCTAGCCCTTTGCCAAACACCACGAAGCCCATCACACGTCTAGTGTGGGGACAGTTGCCTAAGTGGCTGGGTTGTAGCAGTGGGCAAGTTGTAGCCAGAATGTGGAACAGGATGCAACTGGCAGAGGTTTGGAAGGTCTTATTATATGAATCGACTTTCTTCATTTTGTTTTGAAATACTTTACCTTCTCTTTGATACTTAAGTGGCAAAATATATGAGTGAAAGCTGACTTTTATGGGAATTTGGTATAAATTAGTTAAAGCATTTTTTGGAATCTTTGTTTTAAAATTGGGTCACGATTTAGGTATATGGTTTAATCTGTCTTTGAAGTAAAGGCACATGGGGGAAAGGAGTGGTTCTAAGGCGATGGTGTTCACATAATTTGCAAATTGTATGACATACAAAATCGCATTGCCCTACTTATATTACTCCCCCACTATTCAGCGCCTTGTGACTTTTCTTTTCCATCATGTCATGGTATGGAGCAGTACCCTCCAGAGAACTTTCAGTGACAGTGCAGATTTCAGCCTGCACCAGACAGTGTGGGCTCACTGGTCATGTGGCTTTTGAGAATATGAAAGGTGGCCACTGCAACCAAAGAAGTGAATTTTAAATTTTATCTAGTTTCAGTTCAGTTTAAGCAGCCCCATTTGGTTGGTGGCTTCTTTATTAGCACAGCCATAGAAGGTAGAAAGTTGCGCTTAGTTCCACTGTTTTGTTTTCTTTTAGATTTAGAATAGCCTTAGATCTGCCCTGTTATGTTTATCGTGTTGAACGTATACCTTGTTATTTTGTTTTTAAACAGTGGTAGAAGATTGATATAAGACATTATGTAAAATGTAAATTCTTTAGTATTTAACAAGAAAAATTTGATAGCTTTCAAGATCTGTTTAGAAAAATGCCACCCTATATGAGTTGTGTGAAAAATGGCCTATCTTGATTTAATATCTCCTCTGATTTAAGAAGTTTAGTGTGATCCTTCACCTCTTATTTTTTTACTGTAAAAATAAGTTAGAGGTATACAGAAAAGGGATGAAACATCTTTTTTCTTTAAATTTCTATATTCAAAGTCCAAAATCTGGGTGTCACCAGTGTATAGGTTAAAGCATGATTTCATCATCATGATTTAATTTTTTATCTCATTACTTAGTTGATTACAACTTTCATAACACCCCTCCCCTTTTTTAGACATTGTTGGCATTAGTCATCCATTCATTTAAATTTTCATCACCTAGTTCACATGTAGAAACATGCACTTAATTGAATTTCCATTTGCTTAAACTTGACCACTGGACTATGTCCCTTCCAGGATTGTTTTGCTTGTATTTTGACTAAATGAAATTTTCATTGGCATGTGTTTTAAAAGTAGCTTTGCTGCTTATTCTATGCCTGCTGTGGTGTGAAACATCTTGGACTGTATTGCATGTTTTTAGAATTATTGCAAGAATGTATTTAGGTAGAATTTTAAACTTTGTATGGGGCAAGCTTTTTTGAATACCTTGATATTTAAAAATGTAAAGGTTAAAATATTTTTAAATGATATTAAAATACTCTGCATGTTTATTGCATAAGTAGCTTTTGGGGTCTGCTGTCATTTAGCATGCTATAAAGTCACTTTAAATAAGTGCTGTTTGTGGGCTGATTAGATTTTACCTGTGATGATACTGGGGGGGGGGTCTTCAGAAAGTTCATGGAAAACTAGTGTAATGAAAAAGTATCCATGCAAAAATTTTATTTTTGCATCAAAATAAACTTGTATTTTAATTCCTTTTTTTCATGAACTTCTTGAAGTAGCCTTGTATTATGCCATTAGAGGTTCTTTTGATTGACAATAGTTAAATGTAAAGGCAACATGAATGTAGCTATTTAAAGACACTTTCTAAATGTGGTATATGGAGTTAACCATTTTTGGTACTGGATATCATGGTAATATAAAAGAAAGCTGTAGGTTATTATATTAAGGGAGTCATTTTGTGGATAAGGAAGACTGCTCGTAGTTTCAGAAGAGATTTGTACTTGAGGGGAGAGAATATGGTATGTGTGTATCTCTGTTAAATGAACAGCCCTGGATTCATGTGAACTAGGGGGTGAGGACTGTGATAACTTAGTTCATTGATTTGTTAAAATCAGTATGATAGCATTGAACAAAAATGTGATACTTAAGATAATTCATTCTGTGTGTATATATATATATACATATATATATATATTTATAGCAAAATTTGTGATACTTTTTGGGTAACTTTTGGCTTAATGAATTAAGTAATTTTAATAATTCTTTGTTTCAGGTCATAAGAAGATACCAAATGGTTGGTCCTTCTTAAAGTTACTAAATTATAGGTTTATGAATGAGTTTTTCACTCCTCTATAGATTGCATTCAATTGATTAATGATCTAGCCTACTGAATTTTTCTGGATAATACAATACTACAATGAGAAACCATAATTGCAGTGCTTTTTAAAACTTTTGTGGTCATATACTCCTTTCAGAATCTGGTAAAATCTATAGTTGTTTAATCAGAAAATACATTTCATGTTCCCATGAACTCTGGAGCCCATCTATAGGCTTTATTATTAAAGATCTCTGCTCTTTTCTGCACAAACTTAATTCCTATCTGTTAGCCCAGGGTGTATTTACTTACATGGCTTTGGATATGTGTATATAATAAATCCAGTTACATCATTTCAAAAGATCCTGCCCCTGTGTGGTATTGTATTATACATATCATCTTTACATCTGTGTTTGATTTTATATGGGATTTACTATAGAATACTTTCTCTTGATTTGATAACTACTTGACAATTAGGGCTTATCTTCTGTATTCCAAGGAAAAATTAAAAAAAAATTTGGAATTCAGATTGATTCATTTGTTCATGTTTTTGGAATATATTTGTAAATATATAT